TTGGTTTTGGCTGGTTGCCAGGGGGACGGCAGTTGGTTCAGTAAAGGTTGTTTCGATAGGGAGAGGAAAGGGGAATGCTCATGGCAGGAAGGTTTACRGGCGCCACTGCTTGTGGCGCATTCAAGCTGGGGATCCCATCCACCGAAAGGGGGATGGTGAACTGTCCGACGCACACTACGGGGACTTGAAGTTGTTCCCCGGTGGTGTTTGTCTTCGTGCCACGTCCGGCGTTGCTGGAAGAAGCCATGAGTGTTGGGGTTTTTGGAGAAAAGAGGTTATGAGAGTTTAGAGGTAGGCTTTTAGAAGCGAGTTCCCACAGACGACGCCAATTGATGGTGCGCAATCCAGCTGGTCCTAGCTGTCAACGACCTTGCCTCTGAACGGAGCTATAGGGAGCCTGAAACAGAGAAGATGAGGAAGCTCCGAGGGGAATTCGGTATGAAGGCTTCGACGCTCAAGTTAGAATTCTTAGGCAAGATAAAACCAGATGGCGCAAAGCTCACGTACCTTGTTCTTGGGGGGTAGGGAGCCTTTTATAACCACCTCATGCACTCACTCCTAAGCTTTTGTCAGGTCGGGTATGATTACCTCTGGGTTCCTGCCAATTTGGGTGTCATCCCCTCTACTGGACAGAACCGCCAATGCTCCCTTTTGTCGGAGCCGTCTCTGCGACTAGCGATGACGGTGGCAGGTGACCGTTGAAGTGCGGCTGTCAAGCGTCAGATCCCAAGTCAGTCAGGTGCGCCACCCTTGGATACGGACCTCCTCGGTGTCAGGTATGGTACGTTTGTTCAGTTCGGCGTCCTGGAGGCGAGGTGCTGAAGTGGCGAGCGAGGTAAAGTCTTGAGTTTGGATAGGGAAGTGCCCCGAACTGCCATGAGGCGGGCCAGTTCGGGTCATTGCCTTGTGTGGTTCAGGGCCTAAGGGAGAGTTTGGGCTCCTCGTAGGGAGTTTCGGGCTCCTAGTAGGGAGTTCGGGCTCTTAGTAGGGAGATCGGGCTCTTAGTAGGGTGATCGGGCTCCTCATAGGGAGTTCAGGCTCCTAGTAGGGAGTTCGGGCTCCTCGTAGGGAGTTCGGGTTCCTTGTTTGGATTGCTGGTGGGGAGTTCGGGCTCCTGGTGCAGAGTTCAGACTGTTGATTACGAGGTCGGGCCAAATCTTCCTTCATCATCTGTATTTATTGATAATAAAAATAAGGATAATTTTCTTAAACTACTCTTATGGTTTAGCTAATTAACTAGGTGTATCCTTACTCTTTGAAAATTGATTAATTAACTATTCCTACTGCTTCTAATAATTGACTAATACTTTCCTCACCATTAGCATCATTTCACTCACGAATTCAGAGCGCTCTCTCTTGTGCAAATTATGAGTTAATCAAAATAATGGTCTAAAGACGGTTGTAAAATTAGAGCGGTCTCTGAGAACCCTGTAAACCTTTATGGTTTTGCTTTGGCTTCCCCCGTGCTTCAGATGCCAAATCTCGGTTCATTTGAGTTTTAGAATAAAGAAGACCTCGCCTCTTGTTCTCTTCTCCGGAACCGCCGCAACTGCTCAGATGTCATGAAATTTGAGTGATGGGATTGATTAGTTTAGATGTTAGATATTTGAATGAATTCTGCCAAAAGCCCCAGTTCGTCTCTCTCCTCTACTGCCTCCCCCCACCTCCCTCTCGTTCAATTGAACACACTGCTACCATGGTGTTCAACTCTGATCTCTCTTGAGTACTTGCTCCTGGAGAAGGAGGAGGAGAAATGGGCGGACAAGATTTGCTTGGAGGGGAAGTACTACTTCGAAGGATACTGGTTGGAGATCGTTGGGAATTTGAACAACATAACCGACAACTACGTAGGAATGGAGAAAGAGAAACGGGGGTTGAGAAGGTGACATGCTGTGAAGGTGATGGAGCACTATGCACTGCACTGGTGGGGAAGTTGTTTCTGACGGATGCTGGGAACGGGAGGGGAAGTCGAAGACGGATCTAAAAGCAAAATAGGGAGTCATTCTGATTTTCAACCGGAGGAAGAGAGTTCATCAAATCCATCAAAGTGGATGTTTTCCGGGAAGAGCTTGTTCGGTGAGGAACACACCCGTGTTCAGGCTCGTCCAACTTCCCTTGTCGTAGATCAAATCTGTCCACCCATGGACACTATGTTCTGCTCCTTATGCCTCTCCAATGGTAGGTTGAACTCCATGTCCGTGAACACCTAAAAGGGGTCTCCGAACAAAGTATATGTCGTATTGAAGGTTTTAGGGGAATAGCTGATGGAGGAATGATTCTTATTTGAAAGTCTTATTCTCTGAATTGGAATTCTCACTTATCGATTCAGACCTCCTTTTTCTGCCTCTTTTTATACGAGAAGACAAGTTAACTCGTCACCGTCACTCTTCTTCTTCGGAACTCTCGGTGGAACCTGTTTCAGCACCTTGCTTAAATCGAACCAAATACGACCCAAGAAGTCATTCGACTGACTAATATACATGAAGGACAATCATTCGAATTTTGAATATTGGTACAAGGGTATATTAGGATTTTTAAAAAATATCAATCACGTGATGACGGAAAATTAACTGTAAGGGAGGTTTTAGATAATTTTTAGAAATAGTAGGTAGATAATATATAAACAGTAAGAATATACTTAGTCAATTAGCTAAACCATAAGGGTAGTTTAAGAAATTTGCCCTAAAAATTATTTTTTCTATCAAAAGAATTATCGATAGTTTGTTTGGTTGAAACAATTTCTTTTTTTTTTTAATTATTATTATATGATAGGAGACGTTTCATCAGCCATTGACATTTATCGTAAACATAGTTGTCCATCGGGGTGAGCATTCGGATAAGCCTAAATTTTAAAAATCGAATTAAAAAAATTAAATGCAAACTGAAACCGAAACTGAATTATAAAAAAACTAAAATTTGTGGTTTGGTTTTCAGTTAAAATCGATTTTTAATAATATATACTTTATTATATATTATAGAATCAAATTTTATTATATTATATATTAATATATAAATATATAATATATTATATATTATATGTTACATATAATAATAGAAAGTTTGGTTAATTCGGTTAATCAAATTTTTAATTTAAAAAATTGGAATTGATAAGTGAATTAATCAAAAACTGAATTTACCGATTCAATTTAATAAAAAATTGAAAAGATTGAACCAAAAAACTGAATTTAAGTTCAATTTTTCAATTTTAACTGAATAATGCTCACCCTAATTGTCCACAACAACTTCTCTCTCTCATATATAGCCTCGTCATTTTTTTTTTCTATGGGGGGTGGGGGGTGTTCACATCTCTTGCGAGATGTTTCCAATACATGGTACATTATGGGATGTGCTATGCGGCGCCGATGTGAACTAAAAAATTAGAAAACAAGTGATAATCAATACAATTTACTTGTATTGGAATTGTAATGTGTTTTGAAATCAAAGACTTGCATACTTGTTTTTCAATTGTGCTTTGTGAGACCAAATGGTGTAAATCCCATAATGGAATAAACCCATACAAAGGGCATGTTCGTTTCTTTTTAATTCTTATGTCTTATGAGAAATCTTTTAACTTTAAGAGAAAAATGGTTGTTCGTTTCCTCTTAGCTCTTATCTCTTAAAGCGCAATCATACAATTTTTTGTTTTATAATGGTACCCTCAAAAAAACAAACAAAAACTCTCATATATATGGTCAAAATGGATATTTGATCATTTTCAGAATTCAGTATTCAGAACAACAGTTTTTGTATTCAGAGTTTAGAGGAAAGAAAAGTACACCAATAACAATATACTTCTTAATGTAATTATTGCACTTTCAGATGTCAGACTTTATAGCAAATGAATAGACTTAGAGTTTAAAATAAATCCTTTGCGTACTATAATGTTAGATTGTTATAACTTAATTCAACTTGTTTGTCACAAGAAGACAAAAATTTCTCTTTCAAAGCTTCAAGTACAATACCAAATATTCCCTCAAGTTGTTAAAGAAAATTCATTGCAAGAGGTGAAGAACTAATAAACAAGATGCGATATGCATAGAGAATCAAATACTCCACACTATGAAACCGGCTGTTGCATTATCATTAGTTGCTTATTCTATGGTTGGCTAATGGATCTGTGTTTGAAAGTTGGAGGATGCAATGAAAGAAACTATAATAGTTTCCTCCCTCGGGCATCCTCTCTCTCTCTCTCTCTCACACACACATGCTTAATTCAAGAAATATGATTCAAAAAGTGGGTAGGTTCACTCCTAAATATTCTTAATAGACATTTATTAGCTTAACACATTTTATCGATACTCTCTTAAATACAAATGGTGGGACCCATTAAAAGATACCATAAACCCATGTTTGTTTTTAAATGTTTTTTTTTTTCAAAAAGAAAATACTTTATTAATTACAAGCTTGATTTAACTTTAGGAAGCAACCTAATTTAATTTTTAAAAATAAATAACTCAAAATAGATTTATTAGATAAATAGTAAATACCAAATAAAGTGGATTATTGTTTATCAATAAGATCTTATTTAATATCTTAAATCAAATTAAAAAAAACATAAATTAATAATGGGTTTCAAATAAAATAGGTCTGTATAGATTGTCAATTACAAAGATGCAAAATCCATATTAATTTTTTTTTTAATTTAATTTTTGATAACTAAATACTAAACTTTAAACTAAATTATTACCCTTACTTAGTGCCGGGGTCATTATTCTCTAGTAAGCAATTAATTGCAACAAGTCTTCCAACATAATAGGCCTGAGAAAATCAGGGTAGTGTCTTTGGACGGATCTTGTCAGATAAGAAGATAAATATGAAGGGCCTATTAGGAGTAGGCAAAAAACCTCTTTCGACTAGAGAAGGGGTACAATGTGAAGATGATTCGGAATGGGGTACTGTGGTTCAGGTTCAAAACCCAGGATGACAGAGAAATGTTCTTGAAAAAGGAACCATGGTTAATTAAAGAATTCCCCCTATTACTCAAAGAATGGGAACTAGAAATGAATGCGAGTGGATGGCTTGCTGCTAACAAGTGGAGGTGGATGTTTTGAAACTTTTAGTTTGTGCAATGCGAAGAACAACAAACGAAGGAGCTGTTAAATGGTAACAGGTACAGTATGAGAGACTACCGGTTTTCTATTTCAAGTGTGGACGAATAGGTCATCAACAGACAAGCTGTGAGAAATTCCGGGGTGGTGGTTTTCTAGGAGCCTAGGACAAATGATCAACATGCTGGAAAGCCAAAAAGCAATGGTGGGGGCAGCCTTCAAAGGCTATGGGAGTTGGCTAAAAGTGGAGATGACCGAAGAAGAACAGAAAACGTTGGATGCGGATAATACTGCAAAAGAGTTCAGAGAAGCGTGGATGAAAAGTCTGGATTTGCCTATGCATGAACAGATTGAACAGGGCCAATCGTCTACATCAAAGCAATACCAGCTTATGGTTGTGAAGATTGGGAACACAATGCTTATGGGATCCATGGAAGGGGTTAGTAGCACTCGTCGAGAGCTGTTCGCCGGTGATACAAGTAATCCGACGAGGCAAATCAGATCACTAGAAATACTGTGTGGTGCAAGTTTCGTAGTCTTCTTTTCACCGATCAAGTCTAGAGGCCGTAGGGACGAAGAGGGTGAGGCGGACTGTCAAACGTGGCAACTGGACGGATAGGGTGACTTTGGGAAAGGACAAATGTTTATTGTAGTTCTGGAAAAAGGGAAACAAGGCCAATTAACCAGGTCTACATGTACAATCAAGGAAATAGAGGGGTAAAAAGTTTTTAACTAGATCCAAACACAGCTAATGGAGATAGAGGATCGAGGAAAAAGGAAGGAAATTAACCAAGAAGTCAACGATGAAGGTAAGTGTCTCGAGGGAACTACTAGTTAGGAAAGGAACACTGGAGGTGATCCAATGTGAGTTATACAGGCGAACATGCATATAGAGAGTGGTTTGGGTACATGGAGCAAACAACAAGTTACAAACCAAAGAATGGAAACATCAGTGGATCTGAGTGTGGATATGAGGCAGGCTTGAAAGAGAAGCAGAGAGGGCACGAATGTGCAAGACACACAAGACTTGGCTGGTAGGGCGGACCAAAAGCGACTTAAAGAAAAGGAGACTGCGCTAGTGGAAATTGAATTTGTGCCAGGCTCCCAGGTATGTCGTGTGGATAAACGTACATGTAAAGCCATTGAAATCGCCAATATTCTTGGAGGGAGGGCCTACACAGATATGTCCGAAAGTGACCCCATCGAAACCAGTTCGCTGATGGAAGTGGAGAATGAAGAAGAGGTGCATACGAATAGCAAAGATGTTGTGCAGAACAAGGAAGCGGAGGTATGTCTGTTAAGTTATCTGGTTAAGTTATTTTCTGTTTCTCAGTTTTGTCAATTATATAAAATGAAGATGGGGCAGGAAAAGAAAATGATAAATAAAAAATGGTCAAAGGGAGATAGGGAAGGAGAAATAAAAAGAATATTCAAGAAAAATCAAAGAAAATTATGGAATCTCCCCCCAAAAAGAAAGAACAAACTGAGCAAACTAAAAAAAATTATATCAAATAAAATATGAAAGAACAGAAAAGAATGTATGAATGAATAGAATAAAAGAAAGGAATTTGGTAGGGGTGAATAGTTCAGCTTTACTAACTAGTAGGTTAGTGGATACTCTGATAGGAGAGTGTGGAAGGAATTGGCTTCTATGTATTAAGAATAAAAGGGTGTGGGTGGCTGCCCTATCTCAGCCCCTTAAGAAGCAATGATGGTCTTAAGTTGGAACTGCCAGGGGCTAGGCTCACCCTAGACAGTTCAAAATTTAAGAAAAGCCTTTTTTGAGTCCAAACCGAATGTGATCTTTTTGACGGACACAAAATGCTCTCTATTAGTTTGCAAGGATAAATTAAGATGGATTAAAGATTGAGATTGCTGGGGTGTTGATGCAGCTGGTTTCAAGTGGCTTAGTAGTATTTTGGGACCCGGAACTGAATTTGAAAGTCTTGTCAGCAAATGGCAGAATAAACTTGGCCTCGGTGGTGGGCAACAGGGGTGAATCTTGGCAAATATCCTTGATCAATGGGGAACCTGGTAAAAAAAAAAAAAAGAGAGAACACTTTAATCAATTATGACAAAAGTGTGCCGGACAAGTCCTAGGGCCTTGGGTTTGCACTGGTGACTTCAATATGTTGTTTAGGAAAGAAGACAAATGGGGAGGGAAGCCAGTGAGCAAATCAAAGTTAAGGGAAACTAGAAGATTGTTGAGGACTATGGGCCTGAAACAATTAGTAAGTCATTGTCCTAAATTCACGTGGAATAATAAGAGAGAAGGAGCTGATAATATAAAGGAAAGGATTGATGGGGCTCTGGCAAATAGGGAGTGGATGGAGTTGTTTCCTGAAGATAGAGTAATTCACCCAAGTATTGGTGGGTCAAATCATTTACCAATTGTACTTGATGTGAGCTCAAAAATAGGTAAGCATAAAAGGCCATTCAGGTTTGAGAACATGTGGACCACACACACATGAGGATTGTTCTAAAATAATAATAAAAACTAGAGAGGTGCAGAGGAAGGCCTAGGTCAGGATGGAGTTTATAAAAACTGCCAAAAACTTTGGATGGAATTGACAAAATGGAATAAAGGGGTCTTTGGTAAAATTCAAGATAGAATCAGAAAGCTCCAAGCCACTTTGAGTGGAGAAATTCCAACTAGGAAGCTCGTTCAGTGGGTCTAGAGTGCAAAATTTGGTGGAGCAATTGAAGGAGGAACTTAAGAGAGAGGAAATTGTGGACCCAAAAATCCAAACAAAATTGGCTACAACTAGGAGACAAGAATACAAGGTTTTCCCACCAATCTATGATGACAAGGAGAGTAAGAAATAGAATAGTAACCATCAAGGATGGGGATGACCATTGGGTAGTGGAGTAGGACCAAATCTCAAATATATTAGTCTCTTATTTCAAAAATTTGTTTGAGACTTCATAGCCAAGTCTGGAAGGGGATCTGCTAGATTTAGTGCAGTCTCGTGTAAGCGAAGAAGAAAATGAAAGACTTCAAGAGAAGGTTAGTGAGGAGGAAATTAGAGAAGCCCTTTTCCAAATGCATCCCCACAAAGCCGAAGGCTCAGATGGGTTTCCCAACTCTTTCTTCCAGAAATATTGGAATACTGTGAGTCCAAGTATAATCAAAGCTGCCAACGATTTTTTCTCTCTAGGTACTTTAATGCCAGAAGTAAATAAGGCATTCATAGTTCTCATCCCAAAGATCAAAAGTCTTGAAAGTGTCTCTCATTATAGGCCTATTAGTTTGTGTAATACCCTGTACAAAATAATTACAAAAATTCTGACCAGAATGCGTTTGTTCATGAAATCATCCAAAGCCCAAACCAAAATGCGTTTGTTCCAAGAAGGATGATCTTTGAAAATGTGTTGATTGCACGAGCTACTCCACTTCATGAAATCATCCAAAGTCAAGCAGAATTTCATGGCGGTCAAGCCTGACATGAACAAAGCTTAGGATAGAGTGGGGTTTTGTCCAGGAGGTTTTAAAAAAGAATGGGTTTTGGGGATATTTTTGTAAATTGGGTCATGCAATGCATCACATTTGCCTCCTTCCAAAATTTGGTGAATGGAATCTCTAGTAGAAGCTTCTCCCCTTCCATAGGACTGAGACAAGGGGACCCTTTATCCCCGTATCTCTTTTTGATTTGTTCAGAAGTTTTATCTCTTGTTATTCAAAAGATGCACTCTTTAGGTAGGATTTCTGGTATGAAACTGAATAGGCAAAGTCCATCTTTCACTCACTTATTTTTTGCAGGTGATTCATACATCTTAAAAGCAAACATAGCTGAAGGTGGGGAGATTGTGGAATTGTTGAAGTAGTATGAGGATGTGTCGGGTTAAAAGGTGAATCTCTTGAAATCTGAAATTTTGTTTAGTCCAAAATTGCATCAAAAATTGTAAAAGCTATTTTCTAGGGTAATGAAAAATTAAGGAAGTAAGCTATCCATCTAAATTCCTTGGGCTCCTAGCAAGCATGGATAGATCAAAGAGAGGTCTTTTTTTAACTTCTTATGTGAAAAGATGAACACTAGATCCAGGGGAGAGTATGGACATTTGGGAGGATCCCTAGATCTTGGGGTGGTTTTCTTTTAAGCCTATGGGCCCAAGGTTCAACCCCAATCAGGCTAAATGGGTCAGTGATCTGATTGACACCCAAGCAAATGAGTGGAACATCCAAAAGATCACAAATCTGTTTGATTCAGAAAAAGCATCCCAAATTTGTGCTTTAGAGCTCCCAAGACTGGGAGGGGGGGAAGACAGATTAGTCTGGACCCCTGATCCCAGGGGAAGGTTCTCAGTTAAATCAACTTACCATGTGGCTTGGGATCCGTTGGAGGGAGATTCAAAATTTCAAGAATCTCACCTCCCTCCCTTGTGCTCTTTGAGTTTTGTCTTTTCCTCTTCCTACGTTTGAATGCATGGGAATACTCTTTGTTTCACATTGTTTGGGAAAGGAGTTGAGTTGGAGTATATCTATAGATTTGCTCTTTCTATGGGTAGGGACCCATAGGAGGAAAAAAGCATTATAGACATTCACATGCATGTGGGGGAGGGGGGGGGGGTGCATGCCAGGATGGGATGGGTTGGAGCGTGGGTGCATGTATGTGTATGTGTACGTGTATACACATGTTACACTGAATGGTTTTGGTTTTGACCGTTTTCACCTTTGAATTTCAAATTTATTTTTAAACATTTTTTTCCTGTTTTCTATCTCTTCGAACAGGTGCACTGTTTGAAAGAGACTTCTCTCTAGGACACTTCTGTGTCCATTCAGGTGACTAAGAACACTCTATAAAAGGAGTGTTAATCGACCTAGAAACACACAAATCATTGCACACAACACATCTCTCTATCGAGTGTTGAGTTTATGAGCATCATTCTTTGTGGTTCGTGGAGGTTTGGTAAGCAAGTGCACACCTACCAGTGGCCTATGGGCTGTTTTATCTTGGCGACTGATTTGCAATCACCTGGCTGCACCGTAGGGGGCAAATGCGGTTTTAAGGAGAGTGACCAAGTGACACGACTCAGCCCTCCTTCTCTTTGCAAGTTCTTAGTTTCACAGTTATGCAATGCTATAGATTCGCAAGCTCGGTTTAGAAAGTGATTACTGATAAATTCCATTTTACCTTCTTTACTATTTTCCAACATAATCTTTTAAATTGTTTTTCTCAAAACTCTGGTCAAAGTTCCATGTCCCTAGCCCAATGGAAAGCTACCTAGAATTTAAATGTCCCACCAAAGCTAAAACATTTTGTTTGGAAAAGCTGCCTGAACAGCATAGCCGTAAAACAGATAATGGTCAAAAGAGGAATGAGTGAAGAGGCTTCTTGCTCGGTGTGTGGAGATGCTGAAGAGAGTATTATGCATGCTTTGTTTCAGTCTGACCATGCTCGAGCGGTTTGGTTTGGAAGCAGACTAAATTTAAGCTGGGAAGCAAGGGTTACAGACTATAGTTTATTCTGTATGTGTGTTGTGGGCTATCTGGAAGGCAAGGAGCAATTTGATTTTCAATGATATAAGACCTAACCCTTCTCTATCTATTCTTTGTGCGAACAGGATGATGGAGGAAGTGAAGAGAGCTTCCCTTCAAGAATTAGCAGACTGTTCTCAGACTAAGGCGACTCTAACTACTAGCTAGTTTTTTGGATAATATGCCGAACTCGTGCTGTAAAGCGTATACTGATGGAAGCTTTTCTAGTTCGGGATCAGGTGGTTTTGGTTTTCTGTTATGTTCTGGTCTGAATGTTTCTTTGAATGCTAGTTGTGGTCCCTGTAAAGCTGGGTCAGCTGAGTTTGCTGAATTTTCTGATTCAAGAATTGTCGTTAAGACTTTATCTGCTACATCTTTTGATTGTGCTCCGGTAGTTTGGCCCTTGCTGGATATTTTCAATCTCGTAGGTCATGGAGAAAGTGCTTTAATTTCTCTTTCTGTTTTCTTTCTGAGTTTGATTTTCTTGTGTTTTGTTTGGACTTCGGATTGTTTCTTCTCTAACAAAAAAAGAAAATCGGGAGAGACAGCTGTCGTAAGCAGTTAGCTCCGTCTTACTCTTACAACATCAAAATAAATGGAAATTTTATATGATGCCGCCATGCCGGAAAGGGTGTATGATACCGGAATTTTATTTTATTCAGAATGGAATAAGCTTGAATGAAAAAAAGTAATTACTCGGTGTATCATCATGTACCAAGTATCAATTCGAGAAACTGATCAACGTTCGCCATTTTACTCCACCCAAACTAAGACATGTGGGGTCTAAATAGGGCAGGTGGTTGTGTTATGACTTTATGGGGGCTAGGGCTACATAACTTGGTAGGTCCATATTGAGCGAGATTATACTTCGTGGTTGACCGAACGATAAAATTCGTGTGCTCGCGCCCTCGGTACATAACTCTCTCTCTCACGCGCGTCCATTTGTTTTGCCATTGCTATTTCTTTTTCTGCTCTGGGGGTTCTTCGATTGCAGAGAAGGAGCTCTGGAGTCGGCCTTTACTCGTCCGAGGCGAGGGAGGTTATGCCGTTGGGCTTAGAGGTACCCACAGTTAACGGGTTAATATGCGATTTGATTTGTTATTTGATTCCTCCCGTGTGCTTTGTTTAGGGTTGTATAGATTTGTGTAGAAGTTTTAATTCGGAATTGCTTGTTCTTTTCTTGCTTCTTTTGTTTAGAATTTTGATATTGGGGTCTAGATGCCGTAGATATTTGAGATTTCCATATATTCTCTATGGTTTCTTTGTTGTTTTAGGATTTCGGTTTCTCGGGCATTAAGTTTTTTTTTTTCTTCCTTTTTTTTATGTTGACTGTGATCGTGTTCCGTAGGAATTTGAGGTTCGGGGTTTCTGGATTCCTTGTGGGACTATGAACCAGCTGGTTCGTTATTTAAATACATTCTGTGTAATTCTTAACTAGGGGTTGAGTTTTAGACCCTCTTGGCGTGTATTGGGATTTATGCAAATGGGAATTTGTGTTTGGTACGGACTCAATTATATTGTGTTTAAGATTTGAATATTTAAGTGGTTTCTCCTTGTTTGGGATTTTACGAATTGACCACTTTTAATTGACGGCATTGACTATTCTTGTTTTGGTTATCCAACATTCTTCGTGTATCTATTCTAGAAGTGCGTGTTTCCAATGTAGGATGCCCTTAAGGCCCCTTATATTTGTTAATTCTAGGATTTTAATCCATGTTTTGAATTTATTGAGTTTCAAAAGGATTTTAATCGGATTTTTTTTTGCTGGTAGATTTGCTTGGTGAGACTTGAGAGGACAATCTCTAGAGATGCGATTCATAGTGATATTATATGTTCTCTTTAGATCCTTATTTTATTTTTGGGTTGGACTTCTTCATGGTGTGATGATAGATATTCAGGGATTCTTTTAGAGGTTTTATGTGCTTTGTTACCTGGATGGACAAGGTTTCTGATATGAAATTTACACTAAAAACTGAAGTATCCAACATGACAGGCTACTCTTGTACGGGTTTCTGGGTAATCATAGTTTATAAGGCCTATTTGTTTGCGTTGATTTATGTCATGGAAGAGATTGAGGTAATGCCTTCATATATAGAACTTTCAGGGAATATTTATTCCTTGCACATTGGTACTTAAAGAATTTTCAGTATGGTACTTTTGGACTCAAAACTTCCCTTTTGCTTTTGAACCTTTGTTTCTCTTACTAAAGGGTTTTTTTTTTGGTTAATTTGATTTCGGATATTTACTCTTATTCCTGATAGTTGACTTTTTTCTGAAAGGTTTGATTTTTTTAACAGATGAACTTTTAATTGGGGACCTCTGATCTGAATTAGAGGTGCAACTTGGGTTGGCCCGAGTTAACATTTACACTGCTTCAGGCTCAGGCCTTTGGGCTGGGCCCATTCAAAATTTGACAAATCCCAACCCGATCCCACCCAAGTTGCATCTCTAATCTGTATGGGAACACCACAACCAAGAATGAACATGAACATGAGACTGGGGCATGCAAAAAGTGTGTGACCTTTAATCCATTGTCATAATCCCATACAGGTTAGGGGTTGGAGATCAGAATTCTTCGAATCATTGTCCTCACCACATGTTGTCTATTGATGAAATATGGTTTGCTTTACTGATAAAAAAATGAATATGGTGTGTTTTCTTTTACCTGCACAGGTTGCTGGAGTGTCTAATTTCTATAGGTGTCATAACCCCATTCAGAAAATAAAGTGGGTATCATATAGAATGAAAAGCAATTTAACTTTAAAAATTACACCATAATGATCTTACAGGGTATTTAGAAAAAAAGGAATTTAAATGCTACACCATGTGATCTTACAGGATATTTAGAAAAAAGGAATTAAAAGCATTTATGATTTTAGAGGGAAGTATTGTTTTTTGTTAAAAGAAAACATGAACTTTATCAGTCTTATCTGATGTTATCTGTTAAATGAATTAGTTGTACTGCAAGTGGACTGTATTTCATGTGAATATTCATGTTTTCTATTTGTTTTGCCAGGTTGCGCCCCACTTTGATCCAAAAGCTTTCTCATTCTCTTTTAAGATATGGAGCAAGCATGTCTCTTGTCAAATTGCTACCAGCATAGAGTCCTGTCAGAACGGGAAGTTCTTGACTTGCGTTTTCTTACATTTGGAGAATTCTTTCTCGCTTCCTTTGTCAACTGCACTTAGTGTCCAGATGCCTTTAAATGATCATCATAGGAGGACTAACGCAATTTTTTTCTAAGTTTGGTTTTGGACCTATTTTGCACTTATACAAGTAAGATGTCTATTGATATTATCATTTTTCTTAAACAAGAAATTATGGTCTTCTATTTCTAACTTTCTTCCCATCAATAGTGAACAACCAACACAACTTCGGCTTGAAATATTTGCCGAAACATCTTCCGGGGTACAGTACCAATTCTGGAGTCTGTTGAATTTCTTTGTGACAAAATGTGTTTTTCTCCATTAAATACTGAACTCCACCTTTTGTTTTCTACAGGGCTGAAGTCTGCAATAAACACATGAAAATTTCATATACAGTGATTAGTAGATAAATTCCACCAAGCCATGTGGACTAGGTAGTTCATTGCTATATCTTTTTCATTGCTCCTTATTAGCACTGGAATAGCAAGGCAAGATACTGAGTACCTGAAAAAGCTGTCAAGAAATTCTACATAGAATAAAATGAGATAGCAGTTCAATTTTCTGGACTACTCGCTTCAAAGTGCTCTTGAATCAAGTGTCCATCAGTCTATCATTGGCAGATGTATTTTTATCTTCAAATGAGTTTTTGGATTGTCAGTAAGATGTACTACAGCATGCATCCCTCCTTTCCATCTTTACCTGGTTACATTCTTGGAGTTCTGGTATTAGAGTTTTTTGGCAATAAGGCTTTGAAGCCTGTCCATGAGGAAGATGTTTATTTGATCTGAGGCATATCACAAGTCAAGTTAGCAGCGGATCTGGCTTGAGAGCTGTCTATATTCTATAGTAACTCTGAAGTCTCTTGTTTATAAAATAATTTTCAACTGGAATGTCAGATATTTCGTCCATCTATCCCTTATTTTTTATGTGAATAAGGGGCACCAGTTTTTGAAAGCTTGTTTGGTGTTGTCAAGGTACAATGGACCGGTAAGTTGGTATATTGAAGGAAAACTCCAGATTATTAGTAATATTTGACATTGTTTTACAGTTTATTTATATATTTATTTGTTGTTTTGTTTCAGGTACAAGATAATTAAAGAAGTTGGTGATGGCACATTTGGGAGTGTCTGGCGAGCCATAAATAAGCAGACCGGTGAAATTGTATGTGTGATTCATTCTAAAAATTTTCTCCCGATTTCTGCGTGTTCATATTTCAGATGGTTTTCATGTATAACCTTATTTACTTTCAATTTTTCTTGACAGGTTGCAATTAAAAAAATGAAAAGAAAATATTATTCTTGGGAGGAATGCATAAATCTGAGGGAAGTGAAGGTAAAATATTTCATTTCTACCTTGAAATGTTGGATTTGCTGTCCATGTAAATGTATCAACTATTCTTGTTTTGGCAGTCATTGCGGAAGATGAACCATCCCAATATTGTGAAGCTCAAGGAAGTCATTAGAGAAAATGATGTCTTGTACTTTGTGTTTGAATACATGGTATGCTAAGCATATTACAATATTGTAGTTTCACTATTACATGAATTGCACGGTATTCAACTCCATGGAATTACATGTTTCATTTCAGGAATGCAACCTGTACCAGCTTATGAAAGACAGGGGAAATCTTTTCTCAGAATCTGAAGTGAGGAACTGGTGCTTTCAAGTGTTTCAAGCTCTTGCTTATATGCACCACTGTGGTTATTTTCATCGTGACCTAAAGCCTGGTAGGAAATATAAGTTTATGCCTTCTATCTGTTTTATTTGGACCCTATGCAGTCTGGCATTAGTACGATCCTTTTTTCCTATTTGGTTGGAGTTCTTTGAATGGCTTAGTGGGTCAATGAGGAAATTGGAGGAGAATAATCAGAAAGAAGGAATGAATAATTTTCTTGTTGTATGGTATTTTTGGTAATGCCAATTTGTGATCTTGCTTCATGATCACTTCTTGGGCACTAAAAGTTGAAAGAAATAATAGAATGCTTCTAGGGTCATGTCATTTTAGAGATTAAAAAAACTATTTTGATTATTATTTGTGCAGTATGTGTTACAAAAAGGTGAAAGTGCTAATGAGGCATAGGCCTTAAGAAGAGAGTCTTAAGGTGTCGTGAAATTTCTCTTTCAAGGAAAAAACATAAACTGAAATGAGTTATAGAGCTATGCACAAGAACAAGGACCATAATTGTATTCTCAGAAATTCTCAAAACAATTTGATTTTTCATGAAGAAAAGTTTACATGGGCATTCCAATGAAAAAAGTGTGATGGGTTTTAAAATCACTAACATCTAAACAAATCACAAACACTTGAAATTTAAGATTTGTCTATAGTGTACTCTTGAGGGGAGAATACTTTGATTGGTGAATGGAATTTATGTTTTTTTGACGAGTACTAAGTACTCATAGATGGTTTCAAACCCATAACCCCCCAACCCTGGTGGCATTGGGATTCCAGGTCTCCACTACAAACAACCAGGAATGTGAATAGGATTTATGTTCTGGATATGAAGCATCACAAGGTAAGAAACATGTGTCCTGTACTTTCAGCGGTGAACCTCAAGGTTAAGCCTCAGGGTATCTTCCTTGAACTAACCTCCATGTGACCCTTAGGGCATAGTCCTCAAATGCCTTCTAACACTGATTTATAATTATGGTGCCTTGCTACAACTGTATTCTTGCCTGAACACTTATTCTGCACGCCTTCACTACTTCACATATGTTCCTGATCACCCTTGTTTTAATAGTTGGTTATATCAAGGTTTGAAATATCGATACACCCCAGTACACTGGAAAGGGTGTCTTGATACTTTGACCCTTGCATTTTTTTAGTTTCTTTTCAAAAATTGAGTTTGGGCATATTATTATAGGTTTTAAATATTAAAAATAATAATATCTTAAAAACACCTTTAAATAGGTGTATCAGTATGGAAAAGATATGATATGACATGCCCAACAAGGAGCATATTGTATCAAAATTTTGAACCTCGGGCTATATTTAATGTGAGGTTGCCTATTCCCTTCACAGTTGTGATGAACAATGTTCAAAACAACTTTTAAAATCAAAATTAAAATAGTAAAAAGAGATCAATAATCAAATTATAGAATAGTTGAACAGTGAAGGGCTCATATCATATCAAACAACCTTGGTCAAATACTGTTCTTCAGAGTGAAGGTTAATTTCTCCTTTTTTTTATTCAGTAGTCAATTTCACCCTTTCTTATTTTATCCCTTAGGCTGTGTCTGGTTTGATAGAAAGGAACTTTGTGAAATTCTTTAAGAACTTTCCCTCAATCTTCTTTTTGTCTCTTATTTCCTATCAAACCAAACATAGCCTCATGTATTGATGGGAAATGGTGCTTGCTAATATACCTATGCACAAATGAATTTATAAGGAGAGACCAATATAAAATTAGCCCTTCCAACCAATCCTTGGGTAATTCTATGCTATCTGATCAAAATTAACCCTTCCAACCAATCCTTTTTGAGCTCCATTGTGGCAGTGAGTTTGTTTGGTGAATTTAAGCATTTTTGTTTTTCTTGTCTATTGTATGTAGTTCTTTCATGAGTTCTGCTTTTTATTTTTACTTTCTTGTCTTTGCTCCCCTTTTTCTTTGAGCCTTCAGTGACTTGCTTTTGATGGCTTTTGCTTTTACTTTCTGCTTATTATGCAGTTAGATGGTCATCAAGCATTTTTTGTTGCCAAGTATTTCTGATATCTTTATGGTAGAATCACAACTTACAAACTAATGATTATTTGCAGAGAACTTGCTTGTTACAAAAGACATGATCAAAATTGCTGATTTTGGTCTTGCTCGGGAAATTTGTTCTCAGCCACCTTATACAGAATATGTCTCAACTCGTTGGTAAATGCTGGCTTTTGATCAATATGTTATTTTTCTCTTAATGTTTACTACTGTTAATATTTTGCTAATGAAAAGAAAAAGAACAATCACCACTGACCACTATTGTTTCTGTGACAGGTACCGAGCCCCTGAAATTCTTCTGCAATCAACTACATATGGTGCTGCAGTTGGTAAATATAGTGGGAATTATTTTTTTTTGTACCACGACTACCATCCATAAAAAGATTAGAATTTTTACCAAAATTTTGAAGAGTTCATATTGAATTTTTTCCCCGAATTCTAGATATGTGGGCTATGGGTGCTATCATGGCTGAATTGTTTACTCTCCGTCCTCTTTTTCCTGGCTCAAGGTATATGTTCTTTTTGTCTTTTAATGAGGCTTACATGGTAATTCCTTTTGTCAAGTCTTGATTTGTAATTGAGCATTATTCATTTATCAATCTATCTCTTTCTATGTGCATGGCATTTTTTTTGTTATAACTTGTAGTATGACATATTTTCTTCTGGAGTGTAGTGAAGCAGATGAAATCTATAAAATATGCAGTGTGATAGGGAGTCCTAATCAGAATTCATGGGCTGAAGGGCTTCAACTTGCAAATCTGATCAAATATCAATTTCCACAGGTCAGGCTTGATTTTTGTTGTGCATATGCATCTGGCTTCTGCTTCCAAGTGATAAGTTGTTATTTCATTGTGCTGGAAACTTGTTACAAATTCTCGCGTATTTTTTATTTCCCTTTGGGTGCACCCTTTTCAACATGGTTTTAGTTCTTTGAATTCTATAGTTATCACTCATCATCAGTACCCATAATTGTTTGGATAACTTTGGAATTTTGACCATATCTACCTTGCTTTCATTCATTATTTCTTTATTGTACCCAACAGCCCTCTTTGTGTGTGTGTGTTTGGGGGGGGGGACTGCAAACTCAACCCAAATAAATCATCCATTACTGGATATGGTTTGAAAATTTTTATTTGTTTGAATAATCTTTTTCACTTGTTAATGAAGAGTCTGATGTTGGAGTTTGGTGTTGCTTGCAGTTTCCAAGTGTCTATCTTTCTGCTTTGATACCGTCCGCTAGTGAAAATGGGATCAACCTCATAAAGGTAGTAATGTTCTTTGGATTTCTGTTGTATTCAGTTCACAATTGGGAGCTTAGAATGTTGTTATTTTGACTTGTGATTGTGCTTTGTTTTGAAATGTAATATTGTACAAGTCAGCATGGTTTCTGATTTTTCTATGCTTGTCTTGTGGTATTTGAAGGCACTTTGTTCATGGGATCCCAGCAAGAGGCCAACAGCTGCAGAGGCCCTTCGGCATCCTTTTTTCCAGGTTAGATCTCCTTCCCTGATGCAGATTTTAAGTGTAAAGTAGTGGGGATGCTTAGGCAGTAGCAGTTAAGGAATTGCACTTGTCTAATGGATTTATATTAATATGTTTCATTTGATATGCAGAGCTGCTTCTATGTTCCACCATCCCTTCGACCAAGGGTTGCAACCCCTAGGACACCTCCCTCTGGTTCATGTCCCTCTTGCTTTTTTCTTTTTTCCTTTTGCCAAATTTTTCTTTTTGTTTACAAAAACATCTTTTCTTCTATACTTGGACGCCTAATCCTGTACATTCTTGTAGTTGGATTAAGGGGTAGTCTGGAGCAGAAGAGTGCTAGAAGATATTCTGGAACCTTATCTAATGCCAAGCCTATAACGAACTTCTCTTCTGCAAAAATGCATGCTTCATTAAGCACAGGTGACTGTTAATATGTTTTAATCTTTTTACCTAGGAGACTAGAATGACAGAGATAAATTCTGAAATGTTTTGATGAGAATTTTCTCCCTCTTGTTTCCTTTCTTGTTTTTTTGGGTATATAGCGTAAAAGGTTTTGGAAATAAAATTACAGTGTAATTTCATTCAAGTGACATTTTTCTTACTTCATTAAGCACATGTGACTGTTAATATGTTTTAATCTTTTTACCTAGAAGGCTAGAATGACAGATAAATTCTGAAATGTTTCGATGAGAATTTTCTCCGTCTTGTTTCCTTTCTTATTTTTTTGGGCATATATCATTCAAAGGTTTTGGAAATAAAAATTAGTGTAATTTTCATTCAAGGGACATTTTTCTTACTTCAATCTAAGTGTATGGAGTTTTCTGAAACAGTGATTTACCACAAACTCGCTACATATTTTCTATTATGTCCTGTAACTCTTGTGAAAGAAATTAATTTTTAATTCTGGGATTATGGGCCTGTTTGGGAGGGCTTAAGCTTTGATTGAGCCGCTGCTTTCACTGAGCTGCTTTGAACTAGATACCAAAACCAACTTCACCTGAAAATCAATTTCTTGGCTGAATGAAAGCATATTTGGTTTTTCAATGTTTTCACCAAATATAGCTTCTAGGCTTTCTGTGTGGGGCCCACCTTGCAAAGCCAGAAGCTGTTGCATAAAAGCCCTCCCAAATGGGCACAATATACACATCTGGGTGCTTTGACCACAGAATTTCTAGATTTCCAACAATAACTGTTTTTAAGCTTGTTACTATTATCAAAGTCTAAAACTAATTCTGAAAATTGTTTCAGGTGTGCAAAGAAAGCTGGAAATGGGTAATTTGGTAAGAGACATGAATTTGTGTTCCTTCTATATTTTCTCGTTCTTTGTGATGGCAAAATTTCATGAATTTTCTTTCATTAAATTCAGGATGCCAATAAGAACGACAATTCTGCAAAAAGTGGTGCTAAACAGCCAAGATACCGACCACCAGTCAGGAACAGTACAAGTAAGTTACTAAAGGCTTCTTGTATGACACTTCCTTACATGCACACTACAAAATTCTAATGAAGAATATTATAGTTCTTTGAATTTTGGCCCATTAGCAAATATAAGATAAGGAACTCTACTAGATATAAATTTGAACAAGTGGTTTTGTATGTGGGACTATTAATAAACTCATTGCTCCCCTTTAAAATGTTATTCATTTTCCTTCGTCAGGGGATGGGGTGGGCCGGGTGGCACCTTACATTGTGGCAAGTCTGTTATCTTTAGATATTGAGTAATTCTAGAGTGGTTCCATGCTTCAGTGTTTTCAATTCATTGAGTTGTATTTTCGGGTTTGGTCTCGTTGACTTTTGTCTCTTCCCGACAGTGTATGATTGAGTGGGTATAAAATGGAGGTTACTGGACCATATCTATGTAGGTTATGCTTTTCTGGTCAGTCTGTCCTTTGGTTGCTGATGAAGCAAGTTCAAATCCAAGTTCTTATCCTCTAGGATAAAAAATTTGTTGATTGGCAGCTTCCATCTACACAGGAAAGACTGGAGGTGGAGTTTCTGATTCAGCTGAGAAGTTGGCGCAGATGACAATTGGTTCAGGCAGGCAGATTGTTAGAGAGCCACCGCCACAACTGCCTATGAAGGCGGGAGGGTGGCATAGCCACTCTGAGTTCCTTGGACGACCACACGAGATTCCTTCTGGCAGAAATTATTCCTAGGTTGCTGGATAGGAAAAAGAACTGTTCGGAAGCTGAAGCTTTTACTATGTGCTGAACTTTGCTTTACGTTTCTCTGTTATATTTTCTTTTTTTCTATGTTCTTGTTTGCGAGTTGAACTTTGCCCTAATAAGAGTGTAAGACACCCATGTGTGATAGACACATTCGTGATTGTACGGTTAATATTCCCTGGTATTCCAGCGCCGTCCCAATATGTTTGGTTACAGTGCAATTTTATTTGTATTAGTACAAATGTATGGGAGTGTAAATGAAAAGAATGCAAAATTATGTATGGGAGTGTAAATGAAAAGAATGCAAATTCTGGTTTAATTTTGTTTTGGGTTTTACTTTATTCTGCTTATTTTACTTCATTTGTACTGCAATCAAACAAAATAATATAAATTTTGAAATAAAAATAAGTCATATTCATTAATTTGCTCTGAAATCATTTGCACTATCATGGTTTTGCATTAGTGCAAATTACTTTGCATTGCAATCAAACAGTCTTGGGCTCGGTTTGGAAAGAGTATAAATACAAATATGTAGAGTGCAAAATTTTATATTTTGTATTACAGGTTTAGTTTGGAAGGAGTGCAAAATCATATATTTTGTATGTATTTGTATTGTACACATTTGTATTTGTACTCTTTCCAAACTGAGCAATATCGAATGTATTTGTATTGGTATTCTTTCCAAACCGAGCTTAGTTCCAGAATTTGATCTCCTTTAATGATCATGTAGATGTTATCGGCATGATTTTAGATGTATATGTAGATGGAGAAATGGGGATGTAGATCGGAATTTGCATTTTATACATCGTATGATGGATGCAGTGGGAAAAAAATAGGATATGCATACAAGGATGTAAGGGTGTCAATGGACTGGTTTTGGACTGGATCAGGATGGACCAAAAAGACAGTGGATTGGACCAATTCAGTCCAAAATATTTGGTTGGATTAAACCAATATTTGGTCCATTGATATAAGATAAGAATATAGGTGTCAATGAATTGGGTATGGGTTAAAATCAATCTAAATTAAAATGAATTTAAACAAATTAGATGGTCTGAATATTGAATTGGATTGGTAAAAAATGGTCTAAATTATTCATTGGATTGCATTGGACCTGATTCATTGGATTGCAAAACTCAAATAAGTCGATGCATCATTGACACTAAATTTAGGACAGTAAGATTTAGATGACTATAAATGAAGTATTAAAATACTTTAATAGTTTACTAGTGAATGAATATATATATATATATATATGAATAAACATTAATGATTTTTATTACCATTTTTTATTATTGTTTATAAACTGCCATTTTTTAAAACACTCATATAGTCGACAGGTTCACATAAATTGACCCTTATATGTCAAACCCGTAAAATTATACGGGTCATTAAATTCAACTTGAACCATTTATTACTTTAATTTAACCATTCTTATTATAATTAATAATTTATTTTAGTATTTAATTTAAATTTGTTGTTATATAGTAATAATATTAACTAAATTTATAATTATTTAAATATTTACTTAAAATATTTTTTCCAACCGACTATAATTATTATATAATAGATTTATTAAATCATATTTTGCATTTAAGAATAAACATTAATGATTTGACTTAACAAATTTAATGACTGTTAATAAATATTGATTCTTATTTAAGGTTTAATTACTGTATTTGGTAATTTTTGTGGGGCATGCTTTGAATAAACATTAATGATAATTGATGATTGTTATTTCATTTCTTATTATTTACTTAACTAAGTACTTGATGATTGTTATTATTATTAATTATTTCTATAAATAATTGATTGCTATTATTATTTACTTAATTCAGTAATTTTCATCAAGTAATTATTTGATTTAATTTGAATTATTTCATTTTTTTAATTATTTATAATAGACATTTAGGTTAGTCTGTTTATTTGATTTAAGAGACATACCATGTTTTATCTAGACAATGACCCCATACTAAGTAAAGGGCAACTACAATATCATTTAATTTGAAATTTACTATTTAACAATAAAACATCAATGTCCTGTTGAGCAACCCACTCCCAAAAAAGTATCAATAACTTTGAAATCATTAATCTATTTATAAAATGGTAAAATTAAATGGATGTTTATAATAATATCACCAATACTGCTTAATATTTAAGAACATATGAATGGATAAAAAGCATTTAAATGATACCATTCAAAGAGGCAAAGAAGGAAGAAAATCATTCAAAGAGCTGCTAAGAACAACAATCCATGCCAAACAACATTTGCAGATGCATCCATCATCTGAAGTAAGAGATTAAAAATATATGACTACAATCAAATTATCATGTATGGCTACAATCAGCTAATAATATAATCAAGACTATGGAAGTCACTTCCAAGTTAGGTGGCAACGCTTCTTTTGGTCGATCATGGTTACAGATTATAAGTCTAAGCTCCCCATAGTGCACGTAGACTGGCTAGAATTTATCTTTAGGAAAAAGGTAGGGAAACCTATACATAACATAATGGTATGTCCGAATTATGGGCATGTTTAGGTTGAAATTATAATTTTGGGCATGTTGATGTGTCAAATTCAAGTCAATTAGAATAATCATAGATTTTTAGTTCATTCATTTAGTAGCAATTTGAATATTTTTTTATTCAATGTCTTTATTTAGTATAGACTAATAATATATTAATAATTATGAAATCAATAATAATAATAAGTATATTATTATTACTATTATTTACTAAAAATATATTCTTATTATGTGTGTATTGATTTTGAAATGATTATTATTTAATTATTATTACTATTTTTATTATTATTATAATAATAAATAATTTGTTATAATTATGATTTTTAGTTAATTCCTGAAATAATAATTGCTTTTATAATTCTTTTACTTTAACAATAATGAATAATTGAAAGTTTATAAAAATAATGTAAATAAGTAACACTACTTATATATTTATAAAATAATTAATATGAATTAATATAAATATAAAATGATTATATCCCGATTAAAAATTAAAATTATTAAAATACTTATTAATTATCATTAATTAATTAACATTCCGAAGTAATAATTATCATTATTATAATTAAGGAATTAATTATCAGTAAGTAATAATAATCAGTAATTAAATTTTATTAGAAATCATTATTCTTAGTAATAATTAGTTATAATTATTGATAATAATAATAATATAAATATATAATTATATTAATTAATATAAGTATTAATTATAATTACTGATAATAATAATATAATCAATTGTTATAAATATGATTTTTAGTTAATTCATAAAATAATATTTTCTTTTATAATTCTTTAAGTTTAACAATATTGAATAATAGAATGTTTTATGATTTAACTTTCACTAAATGAAGTATTTATTGGAGAATAATAATAGAATTAATTATAATAATAGTATTAATTAAATTATTTGTAATATTAATGAAAATAAATAACACTAATTATATATTTATAAAATAATTAATATGAATTAATATTAATATAAAATGATAATATCCCAATTAATAATTAACATTATTAAAATACTTATTAATTATCATTAATTAATTAACATTCTGAAGTAATAATTGCCATCATTAGTACTAGTTAATTAATTATAATTTTTTATAATAATAATAATAATATTATTATTATTAATTAATATAATATTATTAATTATAATTACTTATAATAGTATAATTAATTATTTCATATATATGTATGAATTATAACATAAATAATTAACATTAAATATTTATTTTCAAAATAATTAATATGGGTTAATATAAATATAAAATGCTTATTTCCGAATTATTAATTACCATTATGAAAATATTTATTAATTATCATTAATTAATCATTATTTCAAATTAATAATGAGCAATATTGTGAGTAATAAATTATCAGTAATTAAGTATTAGCAAAAATTATTATAAGAAATAATTTTTAGTAATTAATTATTATCAATGAGTAATTATTATTAGTAATTAACAGTGGAATTAATTAATTAGAAGTTGTTAATAGTAATTATTATTAGTAGTCAATAACTGGAATTAATTAATTAGTTAAGTAGTTTACATTAATTAATAGCACAGTTTCCTTTCTTTTCAGGAAAGTATTGAAAGTGGGAGCTTCCCACTTCTCACGACTCTACATGGTGGTAGGCTCCACTCTCCATGTTAGTGGGCTCTTTTCTTGAACTACCACTAATCAGAATTTGACATATGTCTAGTGACCTTTATTCTTGAACTGATACTAATCAGAATTTGACACGTGTCCATTTTGTTTAAATCTTTGGAATGACTGGTGCCTGAATGTAAATGAGCCACATGTCTGACTGTAGGGAGTTTTGGCCTGAAATCATTACTTTAATATATATATATATATATATATATATATAATTGGGAAATGTTGAAAGCTGATGAATAATTAAGATGAGCTACACATTTTAATTCTTAGAAACCAAAAAAAAATATTGTTCAAATCTATAAATTTTATAAATTTAGGCAATATCTTCTATACTGAATTTGTTGCCATTTTCGATGTCATGTCTTTCCCGTATTATGGTCAGATTATAATAAGTTGTTTCATAAAGCTTATCGATAGGCATGCTAGCATGCACTAAGAAAAGAAAACGTGAAATTTAGAACTCATGTTTATTGTTAGAAATTTGTTTTGGGGCAAATCTCATAAAGTATCTCTAAATTTTATGAAATTGACCAACTCTACCCTTACTGTTTAGATATTATTTTGGATTACCTCCCAAGTTTTCTGACAATTGACTATATCCCTTTTGTGTTAGCATCCATTAGCATTCCATCGCAATCTGGTTGAAGATTTAGTCAATTGTTTGAAAACTTGGACATATTTTAAGAAAAAAATCTAAATAGAAGGGATAGAGTTAGGGGTGGATTCGAGCTGAGCCAAACCAAATATCGAACTATTCGAGCTCGGCTTGCCAATAAACCATCAAGCTCGAGCTTAAGCTCAAGCTCGATTCAGGATAGAAACTTGAGCTCGAATTTGGCTCGAGTCATAACTCAAATGTGAGCCAAACATTTTATAAAAATAAAAAAATATATATGCATATTAAAAATGTGAGCTCAATTAGGAATCACGAGCCAACCTTGAATAGCTTGTGAAAAGCTCGTCTCATCGCCACTCCTAGATAGAGTTAATCAATTTCTAGGAATATTTTAAGAGATTTGCTCCTTTTTTTCTATTTAATGTTTTTGGTTGGTGATGGTGCGCAATCCGGCCGGTCTTAGCTGTCAAC